GGAGAGCAGGGCTCCATGCATAACTCAAAAGCATCGCAAATTGCATAAAGGGATATCACCTTTTATTTCGAGGCAATTACATGTATATGTATATGGGGTGAGTATATGGACGAGTTATGGAATCGAGAAGCTTGCGATCTGTCACAATGCGCGATGCTTTTGAGTTATGGGTCCCAGGCATGTCCAATCTCCCTCAAAAAATAAAATAAATAAAATAGAAATAAATAAATTAATAAATAAATAAAAATAAAAGCCCTGTTTTTGTCTCTTAATATATTTTTGCTTCTCCTCCCCCCATAGACACAATGTTCTGGATCTACCTGTGCTGTTTACATTTTAATTTTAAAAATATGAAAAGTAAAGTCTTCTATACCACTCAATAAAGTCTCTGTGCAGTTTACATTAGATTATATTATGCCTTGTTAAATTTTTGTCCATGGTTCAGCCTGGATGTAGCTGTCTTCACCTCCATGGGGAGCTGGGATACAGAACTTGTCTTATATTATTATTATTCTTTATTGGTTCTGATGCAGTATAAATACAGGCTATAACCAATTTGAAACTAAAGTACATGAAATCCATTGAAACAATATCAATTCTAATACGTACATTACACAATGGGAATTCAATACATTTTATGCGCAGCTTTGTGTGTGGTGTACCAAATAAGCTCTATAATCTAAACCATATGAATTTAATAATCAGTACTCACAAGGACATGCCCCCTTTAAAAATGTGAAAATAAAATAAAATGACTTCCAGCATCCAGAATGAAATAGTCAAAGGTTTAGGTGGTACGAGCCCTTTATTACTTATTTATCATTCTTTGTACCGGGTTACAAATTAACTGGATTCTGAATTTTCTCCAAGTTATGTTGTATTGCATTTTTCAGAAAAGTGATCCACTGTATATCTTCATCAAATGTCACGTGAGAAGTCCTGAAATGAAGAAGTTCAGCTTTAGAAACAAGAACTAACATCTACCATATTTTACATGTACCACCAGGAACCAGCTTTCATAATATTTTGAGGAGTGCAACTTGAAGCACCAAAATATTTTAAAGCTAGAAAATTACTTACTTTAACATAATGATGGCAATTATATAGTTTATGGTTTAATACACCAACAACAAGATATACAGTCAACAGTGCAACATTATTTATCAAATTTTTTATCCACATTCTTCATTTACTGATAGTCAATGAAAATGCATCAGAAAACTTTCTTGTACTTTTTTACCGAGAATCGATTCCAACCATATAAACAAGTACAAATGCACTTGTTTGGTCATAAGAGAGTGGGCTGATCACTATTTCACATTTCACATATTTTTACACGAAAACTGTTATTTTCTTAATGTGCCAAAGGAACTTGAATATTATATGATAAATAAATGATGCATTTTCATTGACTGTCAGTATATATTAAAGTGAGAATATCAGTAAGTAATAACACATCATGATGGCCACATTTCTTGAAACAACCACTTCTTAAATGTCTGTTAATTTGTTAGTTAGTATTTTCCTGTCTTATTGAATTCATACATTTTTTAAATGCCAATGCCACTGTTGGTACACATGTGGGCATATGCATTCATGCACACACACATACATTGACATGTGCACACACACTTGCTTACACTTACTTTGACAGCTCTAAAAGCTCCAATACAATGTCTGCCAGTTTTCTTGCCTACAGAACAAAAACCAAAGATGACATTTAAAAGTTGACCTTATGAACATAATATAAAATAGGTAAAATATATATAAGTTCAAAAAGGAAATTCTGAAAAACATACAATTTTATTTAATGGGCATCAACATAAAATATTAAAACAAGTTCATTTATTTAAAAAATAACATGAAGGAAAAATCATGCAAATAACTTGAAAAAATACCAGCAGACATACAGAACTATACAATGAACACAACTAATGCTTTATTACACATACATTGTCTTTTGCCATTTCAAGATCCAATGGAGCATACAATCCAGAAACAAAGTTATCCACAGCAGGACTCGTTAACCTCATAACATCTGCTAATTTGTCCAGTTCTGTGATCTGTGCCACAGTTACACATTCTCCGTTACTTCTCACAGCAACTGACGTCTTCTTCAGGCAAGCTTTTACCGCTTTAACAAGTCCTATGCATGGTGCTATTGTCCTTTTGTCTGCCTCAGACCATGTTTCTTCCTCAAGGTCATCACTGTCATCATCACCAAGGTCAAGGTAATCCAAGCGACCTTCATTTTCCACAGCCTGTAACATAACAATACAATTATATTTCACCTCAGTGGGGAAATAAATAATTTTACTTCTGTCCTAAGTAATAAAATTTCAATTACAATTTGAAACAAGGTAACATACTGAGGGAGGATATCACCTTCCCCAGGTGAAAGTGAATTTGTGACATTGAAAAGGTCAAGGTGACCTTATTTCTCATCCAGTAATCTCTCCTGTATCAAACATTTCCCCTCAACTGTTGTCAGGTTATCTTGTCACAGGGACCAGAAAAACACAGACACCTTTTCTATAATGGCTCTTCACCAGGCTATTAAGAAAGAAAGGAATTTGAGAAATTAAATTACTTTTAGCTTCAGTTCAATAATGTAAAAATTATTTCATGTCACTTTTAAATGAGATTAAAATCTCTGTAGAACTTACTGCCTCCAGTTCTTCTAAAGCATCTTTTACCAAGTTACCAGCACCTGTTACCACTGTAATCACTGCTGCTTTGTTATCTGCCAAAAGAAAAAAATCCTTAATTATCTGTAATACGTAAAGAATAATGAAATTAATCACCATTTGTATTATATGTCAAGTCTGAATATGAAGTGTACAATTCAAGTTGTATTTTTTCTAAACATTTTTACAAGAAATGTGGATGCTGAAAATCTTTGTAAGAACTAATGAGTTAAAATCATTTAAAAACCAATAAAAAGAAAAATATATAATTTAAATAAATAATTTTTCCTAAATATTACTCTTTGTTGATCTTGGCATTACTCTTTTCTACAAAAGGAGAATCTGATATTTTCTTTTAAGTACAAGACAAAACCAAAAATTTATCACAACACTCAGATACTTATTAATCTACCTTTTGGAGTATCTTTGATGCCATTGCAACTCTCCCAAACTTTCCCAGTAGACTGCAGCTGATCAGCAGAGCTGGAAAAAATAAGGACACCATTTCATTCTCTGTTAAATTATTAATGCAAATCTTTTCTGCTTTAATAAATGTCTAACTAATTTCTTTTCAAAACCTTAACAAGAGATATTTCCTCACATTATGTTCCTTCATTTTATTATCCATTCCTTCATTTATTTATTCATTCAATCACTCAATTATTGATCTATTAATATTTTTATTATTTCTTTAGTTATTTATTCTACTTTTCTATATATGTATATATATATATAAAGGATGACTACCATCCTTCAAACATAATGTTACAATAAACAATCTGATCATTAGGCTGTGGTTGTCATTCCGAGTCCAGTCACTGCAAATTTCAGAGGCTTGTTTATAACAGAGCTGCCTTTCAGGTAAACTCTGCCACTCAGCCCCCCCCCCCCCCCCCCCCCACTTTCTCCATGTTAGTTTACCCTGCTATCTCTGCCTGAGCTATCCTCCTGACCAGCTCCTGGACCCCCTCTATGATGTCACAGACTGCATCCACCGATGACTTCCACAAGGTTAAACCTGTAGTGAAATAATTGAGAAAAGAATTAAAAGTGCATTATAACTTATAATAACTTATATATTTAACTTTATATATTCAAAATCAACAATGTTT